GCGCCCATCGAATTTCATGCTGCTTAATTTAATCATGTTTTTGTAATGCTTGATCATAAGAAAAAAATAAAACTGCATATAAATTTTAGGATAGTCACATAGTTATACTTTATTTATATAAGCATTATTTTATATATAAGGAACCAGCACTTTGGTCAGCTCTTTACAAAGAGTAAACAAAGCATACAAATTAACAATGACAAACAATTTTAAGAAAACAGAAACAAAAGACTCCATTAAAATGATCTTTCAGAGCATGAAGGTTCAATTTTAGTGCTTGGTACCATTATCTCTAGTTAACCTCTCTTTCCTCTCACAATAAATTTAAGTTAGACCAAAGTGAAACACACAGTTTGTGGCAAATGTATTTGGAACACATGTGCACCTGCTCATTAATGAACATATCTAAATTGGCAAGTCATATGTCAGCATTTCAGGGCATAAAAACATGCAAACATGGACAGGATGTCCAGTCATTATTCAAACCATCACCACATCAGAATAGGGAAGAGATATAATTTAAATGACTTTGACTGTGTAATGATTGTCAGTGCTTTCAGTGTTGGGTGCTGTGTCTTGAGTATCAAGAAAATGTCTGTCTCCTTGGATTTTCATAGGAACAAAAAGTTTACAGAGAATGGTGCAACAGCATATAGCGAGCAGAAGCTCTGTGAGCAATTATAACTTGCTAATGAGCAAGGTCAGGGGAAGATAGTCAGATTGGGTCATGCTAAGGGTGATAGTTATTGAAATAACCACGTTACAGTAGTGATATTAAACAAAAACCATCTCTGATTGCTCAATACATATTTAATTGAAGTAAATAAGATACATCGGGTTCCACTACATATCTAAGTAAAGAAAACAGACACTGCAAGGGGAATAGACACACCAGAACTTGATAACCGAATATTGGAAAAATAAATCCTAGTCTGAAAAAAAATCAGTTTCTCCAGAAACATGCAGGTCCGGATGTTTTATAAACAACATGAAAACAAGGGTCCATTCTGCCTTGTGCTGATCATGTTCATACAGTTATGGCCATAGTGTTCTCATCTAATGGCTACGTCCAGCAAGGTAATATGCCATGTCAAAAAGAAACTGGCATTTTAAACAAAACCCACAAACATGAAGGCAATGCTCTCTTTGGTGCAGTGGCGCCCTCAGTCAGCATATTTCACTCCAGTAGAGCACATATGGATGTGGTAGAATAGGGAGCTATGATGTCAACATGTACAATAATCTCCATGGATGAGGCTGGAACTAGTGTTTGATCAAGGTAAACTCTATGATAGAGTGCTCTTTCCACACAGACATTGTGGGGGTGTTAGTAAACTCTTATACTCTGCTTTCCATAAATGAAGTGATTCTGAGCCAGATAACTACTATATAGTGGCTGTAAGGCCTAGAGACATGAATGGAAAAAAAAAATGGTGCCAGAACCAGACTCCTCATATACCATATTTTGGTTCTATGGCAACCAAATAAAGGCTCTTTGCTAAGGCACCTGAATATCATTAAAGGGCTTTATCCACAGGGCTCTATTTTTTATATGCTTGGCTTTCCTTAAGTGACACTCTCCTCATCAATTGTGATTATGGTTTTTCTACCAAGAAGACTTCTAAGACAAGGTGATAGCAATATTTATTTTAGTTTGCCCATTCTTTCCCAACAACTTTTTTTTTCCAAGAATGAGTTTCTTCTCAAAACTCCTGAACTATCCCTAAGCTCAAATTTACCTGCATTGTAATGTTAGAATCTCACTTATATTTTTCTGAAATATGGTCAGTGTTATCAGGAGATGTATTATTTTTTGATCATTTTAAACTTGCATACTGCTCGATAAAAATTGAATTACTAAAAATGATTACATATCTTCTTCATTCCATACCACAAATAATTCAGGATATTCTTGATCTAGGGTCCTACGCACTATTGGAAAGGTATACCTAATAGTGGGCACTGAATGTATATTGGGGAAAAGCAATGGGAGTGATATTTCTTGGCACAGATAACAAGATTATTAGCAAGAAGCTGACAGTCTAATCTCCGTATTATGAAAGGAATTCTTTATGGACACATTTCAGTCTTTGTATAAAATGACTCATCCTTGAACATCGGCTTGTTCACGTGCCAATCTGTTTGCCCTTGTAGAACCTTGTTTAGATTCACTGTTGCATAAAATCAGGTTGTGCATGCATGCTACATTTTACATAGTTTAACTTGCCCTTATTCAAATGATTATGTGCATAAATGGGTGGGATTGTGGACTCTGCTAAAAAAAAAAGTGTAAAAGTTTGTTAAGTTCTACAAGGAAAATACAATTATCTAGTACATATTTTACATGAAAATGTATAGTCTATTGCATCTTTATGTAAAGTAATGTTTCAGTAAAACTATCTTTCATTGTTTAATAACATTCTAAAACCACATTCAGGCATTATCTATTAAAACAATAACTGTTGGGAATGAGGTAACTGCATTTTTTGACCAAACAAAATTACTATGGGACATTATTCTGAAACATCCAGTGGTACATGATGGTTCAATCTGTAAAATATATAAATAAACTCATGAGTTTTAATGGTCATGCATTTCCACATTAATCGGATTGTGCAAATATAATTAACAAAATAGAATGTGTTATATTTACATAATTGTATTTAAGATCAATAGAGAAAATTGGACATTTTTTTAGGTTTTTATAAATAATTTCGGTGACAATCTTTTTTTTAAAGCTTACGGTAATTACTTTAATAGTTTCTAATCAATGAATCAATTAACATTTTTCATCTGTGAACATTTTTTGAAGCACACAAAACTTTGTATGATATTCACTTTTTATGGTGAACAGAACAAAATTATTTAAAGCATTTACGCAACTGACACTGTAGCATTTCGAAGATTACTTATAGTTAAACACAAAACATATAATTAATGATCGAATGTGATACAATATTCTATTTTACCATAATCTTGTTTTAATATTTGTTTAATCATGTTGGTGTTCTGTATATTTCCTATCTTTTTTCCCTCTAAATTTACATATTTTTTCTTGGCATTTATGCTATATCAAGGCAGATCATTTGGCACTGACTTAAAATTCATTAGGGACATCACACTGGCGCCGTTTGACCGCGTCTTGGCATACACTATTGTCAGGAGACAAAAGACTTGTGCAGTAGATCAAAAAGGAATATTTTTCAAAATTTAGCAAAATCTCAAAATAACACATTAATATAGATTCTCACACCTTTTTTAACCCAGACGATGCATGCACATGTTTTAATTTTTGATAACTTGCCTGTCTGTTTATTTAATTTGAGCTTAATTAAAGAAAAAATACACGCCATGTGATTGCAAAGATGTCAGTTCACGTACATATATAAGATTTGCAGTTTTTTTTAATAGATTTTAGAGAGATCGTGTTTTTAACAGTAGTTAGAAAACATGTTAAATGCATTTTATTACTATGGATTAGACAATATAATGAAGTGATCTTCTAAAGACATAACTAAATTGTACTATATGACAACTTACTTACCTTTTACAAAAAAAGGTTTTCAGACATTTTGATAAGAAGCAGGTAAATGACATAAATTTATATAATCAAGAGGAAAAAAAAGAATAAAAAAAAATAGAAAATGTACATTAGAGAAAATGTTAATGGATATTTAAGAAACACTCAAAATTTGCTGAAGTTTTGCATTGCCTGTCATTGCAGGCTTATTCAATAAAAGTTTAAATTTCAAAAAGAAATTAGCACTGTTATAAAATACCTTTTTTCACACATTCTTTATTGTCAGTCGGACAACCAGTAGGGTTTCCTGCCTCACTCAGTTTGTAACATAGATCATTAAGATGTGCATGATTGACTAGTTAGGTGCATGCGCAATATGTCATTCAGGCTTCACAATGAGAAACCTCTGAATAATGTACATGCTGGACAAACAGATAATAGCTTACGGAGCTGGAGAAACTAGTTTGTTCCTAATGTGAACTCATTTTTTCATAACCCTACCGATATGAAAAATAATATATACATGTTTTATCCAGGGTAATATCTACTAATTTTGTCTGTATAGTGTTCCTTTAATGCCATGTGAATGTCTAGCTGAAGCATTTTAGTTATGCATTTAAATAATAAAGTGATATGTATCACTCAAAGTTCCTTGCTGTGCCACTCACGAATAAAGGCCTCATGCCCCATCCAATGTTTGTGTTCATTAGCTCTACTCGTTTGAATATGTTAGTGTTATTTTAATTGCTCTTGAACCTTCAGGGTGAATTGATTTTATTTTTTTTCTGATTGGTCCACTTTCCTATTCAACCAAATACACACTTAATTGCTGCACATTGAGCTAATATACAATCGCAAAAGGTGGAGATCCTACTAATATATCATATAAAAAGTATAGATGGATTACTTAAATGGTTCATAGAGTGGATGGTTTGATCCATGTGAAAAGAGTAATGTTCAGAAAAAAGGTTATAATTAAAGTGTATAAGAAAAAAAAATGACAATTAAATCTTTGCTTAAAATAATTTGGTGCAAAATTATATTGTGTGGGAAAGTCTTTGATTTTAAGATTGACGTCAACAAAGAATTAGTGTGCCTCTGATATTTCAGGCATACAATTGACATAAATCATCCACAAATCTACTTTACCTTCAATATCTTTGTTTCTAAATTATTCTCATAGTAAATTGCTATTGTGTTATGCCGAAGCATTATCCAGTTCGTATCATTTAAAACATTAATTTTGATAATTTTTATTTTTATTTATTTTTTATTTGTTTCTATATTATAAGTTTGGAAATAGATAGGCAGCCTTGTGACCTAGTTAAATTGATAACCATGGGTACTGTCTAGGAAGAATTGAATTTCATTTTATTTAGAGCCCTCTACAGCTTTTTTCTATGGAACATCTAATGGCAGGTAAAATTGAAAAATTTTCTTGTAAACATTATTTTGGTGAATTCAGCTGTTTGGAAGGCCGATGAACTCAGTCAATGAGAGTGTGTTTTTTCTGTCAAGGTGCTTAAGTGCTAAGCACCTTGACAGAAAAAACACACCCTCGTTGACGCTGTACTTGGTAAAGTTGTGCAATGTCCTCAATCAAGAAAACACTGATTTGCACTTGGTTTGCCCCATGATCAATCATGCTAAGTGCAATAGGAATGCATGTCACTATATTATTCCCAGTTTACATCTTTTACTGTATGCCACCAGTGTTCTTTTGCAAGTGGGGACATGCTATGATAAAATAGCCAGCTGATAAGTCAAAAATATGTTTTTTAATTTTCTTTTTCCTTTTTTAATAAAATATTCCCATTGTATCACTGACCTAGATTTTAATGTTACATATGATATTCTCTTTAAATGTTGCATTTCTGTGTATACATAATATCTAAATTTCTGAAATATTAATAACAGGTTGATGGGAAATAATGATTTTCTATAATAATGAGATGTTAGCGAATTCGTTTAAAACATGCATCAATAATAGAAATGAAAACTCAGTGATCTTAGAAGTTGTCTCAATAGCATCAGCAAATCAGTCTCACTTACCCTACATGTTAATAAAATAAGGAGATGACAATCCTAAAAACAGGGATGCAAAATAGAGAAAATATGGAATGACATTTTTTTCCTCCCCAAAGGAGTAACTGCCACGAACCAAAGTATTTTCATGAAAGCTCTTTTGCTTCAGATGCAGAATATTAAGAGAACAAAACACTTTAGGACAGAGCCTTGTCACCAGATGTTACTTGCCTCTAATGTGTTTGTTAAGCGGTATTCTTTTTAAATAGGTCACGTAAACTTTTACATTGTGTGGTAGATACATAGAATGCCATGATTTTCTGCGTACCAATTTGTCTGTATTCAGGTTCAAGCTAATGACCTTGTACAACATATAAATTCTGGTATAGTGAAAGCAGGAGCTTGCGTGTGATTTAGGCAAAAAATGGGTTTTGGTGCCCTAAAACAGTAGATGCTGGTGCCCTGTGTTTAGGTTTGACGAACTTTAAGAATCCCTCATTTTGTATTCTGCAGTCATATATCTTCAGCTATATAGATTATGCTTGTTAATGGGACCTATGGCTTTATCTCTAATTTATCTGTTTATCTATGATTTTTTTAATCCATTTTCATCTCTTATTTTTTATTACATCATCAAGAGAGTTTTGCCTTTCTATACTTCTCGTTCTTTCCATTTAGAAAAGGATAATTAATTCAGTTAAAAACGTATTAAGTATATTTTATTTTCCATGTATTTGCATTGGGAAATGTAGGCACAGTTTTTGTAACAAGAATTCTCCATTCTATATCTTTCTATTTCAGATATCACGCCACAGAAGGAATCATTCCCAACACTGTATTCCTGACAAAATAATTGTAAATGACATGCTGGTAAGGTTTTATCTTTATTTGGTTTTTGTTTTTATTTATCATAAACTCTCAAAGCCAATGAGTGAGAAGGGTGGATGAAATATCCAAAACTCATGGTATGTTAGGTTTACTCTGTTTTACTTTAAAGCTAAACCTCTGCAATTAGACAAGAGATTAGATAATACAATAACCCAAAGACTTAAAGTCAAGTTAAAGTTGGGGATGTTACCCGAATTCCATATTTTGAAAAGTAAAGTTTTTACCTCTGAGGATATGATAAATCAAAATGAATTTGTTTTGTGAAGGAAAATGCTCTGCCACTTCTTTACCTTTTACAAGTTACAAATATTAATCCAGCCATTTTCACTCCACATTGACAGCCACTAGAAGCACTTACTCATTAAGGCCTTCAAAATCAGAGATTTTTTATAGTCTACACCATCAGGTCCAGCATGATGAAGCTGAAAACTGTGAATAAATCTTATGGAGAAGCATTGATCCAGTGCTTCTTTATAGCAAACGTTCAATTGACAGAAAGTGGTCATTGCTGTGCATGCACCTTAAATCCCCAATGTTTCTCTTTTGGCCGAGATCATCCATCAGGATGATCTCAGAAGTATGTAGTCTTTCACCTTCAAACAGTACACAATCCAGTAGTACAATATGCAAAAACATATACACAGGTACTAGCGCTATAAATCTTTTACTTAAAATATGTATGAATATCAAAAATAGCAGCTATAACACTTAGGTGTGTAACCTTTCCAAATACACCAAAAGGTAGCAAAATTAGTACAAAAGAAGTGTAGTGCTTATCAATAGTACGGTATCAGTATACCTTTGCCGACTCAATAGATACTCTATGATGCATCCAAGAGGCCTAAACATATAAAAAAACAAATCATAGTGTAACATATTCAAATAACATAATTATGTGTGAAAATAGGAACACTCACAAGCATAGAGCTAATGGACCTAGCTCAGGTGTAAAAGGTATTCGGGTCCGTAAAGGCGTCCCACCCCTGGTTAAGATTTCTTGATCCACCAATCCTAATATGGATATATATAAGATGGGAACATAGAGTAGTACAGTACTGATCTGTATTAATGTAAGTATAAGCTAAATCAATACTCATAAGTCTGGAGCCTCTATATGGCTCTATGGTAGCATGTTGTGTAGTTTTGGACTACACTCCCTTGCTTCAGGATACTAGACACCAGAAGGTAAATTAGTATATATATAGAATAATTTATTAATTTAACATATAAGGAATAAAAAAGACACAAAGTCTGTATATAGTATACAAGTGATACTTCAAATTCCCAGAAAGCGTTTCACTACCCCAAGTGGCTTCCTCAGCCGAGTAGAATATCCAAATGTCCTTCTGTTCACCGGTCCTGCTTATATACTCCCTTAATAGGGATATAATCAATTGACCGGAGTGCACCTGGGCTTTACTTCAACCAATTATATTATAGTTGTTCTGCCCACATACTTAAGGCCACAAGGGCATTGGAGAAGACAAATAATATTTTTGGAATAACATGTAATAAAATCTTTGATATGTGCCTTTTCTTCTTTTTTTTATATATATCTGTTTCAGAATACTCCTCTTGTTTCCAGTCCTTCTGCATGCTAAGCATTGACCACATCAGTAAAAGCCTTTCTCATTATGAAAATTTGTAGAGTTAATTCTTTCTTCTTTTAAAAAAACTTTTCACTAGAGAGTCTTTGAAATTGTTAACACCTCTATGGATAATCTTTGGTTGTTCGGGTAAAATTTCTTTTAAAAGTGGATCTGGCAATAAAATTGGCCAATATTTTTTCACAATCCCTCTTACCTTTCCATTTTCTGTACTGAAATTGTACTGAAAGGGAACATCTGATAAAGTGTGCCTATTTGATTTCTTTTTATATTCTAGCATTTCTTTCCTTTATTTATTTCTCATTTCCAATCTAGATGTTTCATCAGTATACCTTTGCCGACTCAATAGATACTCTATGATGCATCCAAGAGGCCTAAACATATAAAAAAACAAATCATAGTGTAACATATTCAAATAACATAATTATGTGTGAAAATAGGAACACTCACAAAGCATAGAGCTAATGGACCTAGCTCAGGGTGTAAAAGGTATTCGGGTCCGTAAAGGCGTCCCACCCCTGGTTAAGATTTCTTGGATCCACCAATCCTAATATGGATATATATAAGATGGGAACATAGAGTAGTACAGTACTGATCTGTATTAATGTAAGTATAAGCTAAATCAATACTCATAAGTCTGGAGCCTCTATATGGCTCTATGGTAGCATGTTGTGTAGTTTTGGACTACACTCCCTTGCTTCAGGATACTAGACACCAGAAGGTAAATTAGTATATATATAGAATAATTTATTAATTTAACATATAAGGAATAAAAAAGACACAAAGTCTGTATATAGTATACAAGTGATACTTCAAATTCCCAGAAAGCGTTTCACTACCCCAAGTGGCTTCCTCAGCCGAGTAGAATATCCAAATGTCCTTCTGTTCACCGGTCCTGCTTATATACTCCCTTAATAGGGATATAATCAATTGACCGGAGTGCACCTGGGCTTTACTTCAACCAATTATATTATAGTTGTTCTGCCCACATACTTAAGGCCACAAGGGCATTGGAGAAGACAAATAATATTTTTGGAATAACATGTAATAAAATCTTTGATATGTGCCTTTTCTTCTTTTTTTTATATATATCTGTTTCAGAACACTCCTCTTGTTTCCAGTCCTTCTGCATGCTAAGCATTGACCACATCAGTAAAAGCCTTTCTCATTATGAAAATTTGTAGAGTTAATTCTTTCTTCTTTTAAAAAAACTTTTCACTAGAGAGTCTTTGAAATTGTTAACACCTCTATGGATAATCTTTGGTTGTTCGGGTAAAATTTCTTTTAAAAGTGGATCTGGCAATAAAATTGGCCAATATTTTTTCACAATCCCTCTTACCTTTCCATTTTCTGTACTGAAATTGTACTGAAAGGGAACATCTGATATAGTGTGCCTATTTGATTTCTTTTTATATTCTAGCATTTCTTTCCTTTATTTATTTCTCATTTCCAATCTAGATGTTTCAAGTTTATCCTCCTATTCTTTCTCTAAAAAGTCATTCTTGGATCTTAGTGACTGTTCTTCAAAAGTTTCTATATCTGTACAGTTTCTGCGAATCCTTAAAATTTTTCCTTTTGGGGTATTTTCTAGCCAAGGGGCAAAGTGGCAGCTAAGTCTTTCAATGTAACTGTTTGAGTCGACATGTTTAAAATGATTTTTGGTTTTGATAATCTCATTTTTGTATTGACAGTAGTACAATATATTCAAAGAGGTAGAGCAGATACCTGGCTGATTCTATCCAAGCTCTAGATAAAAAATTATTTAAAGCTTTTTTGCCTAATTTATTTTAATTCTAAACAATAAAAGAAGTTAAAAATAAATAGAGTGCTAATATATATTAGTGAGTATTGGTGCAGCTAACATGGAGCCAATAAATTAGTGGCAACTGATGACCATATGGACAAAATGGATTCAGAAAGGTTCCAGACATATGATGTACAGGTCACTCTTTTATGAGGTCTAAAAGCACAAATAAATAAATATAAGGTTATTCATAATGAAGTTTGGAGGTAAAATGAAGATTTTTTTTGTTGGAAATTAGAATAGTTAA